TTTTGAGTAAAACTCTAGAAATTTAATTTCTCTTCTTGAGTGCAATAGCACACAATTGACCTTTATTCACCATATTTAAACAAACTTTTTGGTCCATATTGAGGGTACCATACCACCTTAAATACCATGATACTTAGATAAATTTATAGTGATATTTTTTTGATACAATTTAATCAAAACTATGATTTAAAAAAAAAAAGAGTTATTTTTGGTTTCTTGTTATTGTCGTGATTTTGGTCTTTCAGCTATACAACCAACTGTCTGTTTAAACAGGATCCGGAGAAGAAGTTTTTTCTTGCTTTCTTGAAAACGTTGCCAAAGCGGACTAGGCGAGTTTAATGGTGGCTGGCTATTCACCATACCAGGTTTAAATCATAAAATTATTGAAGAACTCGCGTTTTACCTGGAGAAAGTGTTGCACGAATATGTCAGACGTCAGGTCAGCATTGGAACGAAATGTTAACATGAAGTGGTAAATGGAAACTACAGCATCTTGAGGGTTCTGTGCGATGTAAATGGACCTGCACGTCCTGGTTTCGTCTTTGCCTTTGGAAATCACGTAATAATGCAGATGTGAAATTCAAATCCAATCACTTTTAAGAGAAATAGCCTCGCTAGAAAAGCCAAAATTATCATTTTTTTCGCCGGAAATGATTTTTAGCCTCGTGCAACGACTCAAGTTGAAAGCAAAACGAGTCAATTCGAATGATTTTAAGTCCTTAACACGTCTTCATACAAAATTTAAAGACAGCGAACGTTGTAGAATGGACATCGCTGACTGTGCCGTCGTTGTAAATCTGCCACAGCAGCTCTCGGGCCCAGGTCGTGCCTGTCAATGCGAAACAGGTTTGATCTTTAATGTCAGCGTGCTGTAAATGGGGGTTTTCCGTTGACGGATCGAAAATGTTAAACTAAAAACTAGACACTAATAAATCAAATTAAGTACAAAAAAGTGGCAATAACTTTGCTAAGTATGACAATCAGAACCCAACGGAACAATGAAACTTTTATATTTGCATAGAATTTTAATAAAATATTTGAAAGCACCAACCTCGATTCCAGTCTCACTCTCCTTTGCCGCCGTCGTCGAAGAAAACGAAATAAAATTCTCGCAGATGCAGCAAGAGTTTCTTCTTCCGTTTTTTACACATAATTACGTGAATTATGGCGCAGGCAACCTTGCATACAAATGAACTCTTTGACTTTTCATCTCATAAGCTCTCCTAAAGATTGACAGTGGCTAGTCTCTATAATTGTTTTAGTTGAATTCTAGTTGAATATTTTTTCAAATAAAGCATGATGGTAATCAATCTTAACTTTAAAACGGCGTTCCTACGCTTTTATTGGAATATTGAGAAACTAGAAATTAACGGTTTGAGTATAAGACATAACCTCTTGGTAACACAACAACGATTATCCTGGAGCATCTCCTCTAAAAAAATTCAACCCCTTGCAAACGCGAAGCAGAGAGACTGATACAAAAGTTAATCAAAATATATTTTGATTCGCGGAATTCTGGAAGCTCTCGAAGTTCTCGAAAAGTTTATGTTTTCATGTCTGACAAATTTAGAGATAGTCAGCTCTTACTTAGGTCAACAGTCCAACAGAAAACTATGGTCGAAGGAAAGGAAAATGTAGTAAAGCTGGAATGTCGGGCAGATCTTTTCTCTAAATTTCTTGCGGCACACTTAACCTAAGATTGCAGATTCAGTCTGCAAGTAGAGAAAACGCACTTGTCAGGTAGGGCCTACGGTACCTTTTCCGGTATTACTTGATCTGCTTTTATACTATAATTATATTCACTACTGGTTCTCGGAAATTGCTAGACGGGACAAACAAACACAGCGATAACTGGCTTTGGGCAGCTGTGAATGACCAAACCCGGCAAATTAATATCTTGATGAATAGCTTTCCGTTAAAGTTCGATTTTTGAACAAGGCTGTAACAAGAGCTACCAAGACCGAGCAGTAAAGAGGATATAAAAGTGAAGCCTTGGAGCCGACTGGCTCATGGCTGCCGGAGCTTATCCCGGTCTCTGTAGCATGAGGCAGCTAGGAGTATTTCTACTCCCTGTGGATGAGATGCTAGTCCATCGCCGGTCACTCCCTCCCAATTTGCTAGGTTTCCCCAACAATTCGCCGGTACCCATTTGTACTCCTGGGTGGAGAGAGGCACTGTGAGAGTAACGTGTCTTAACCAAGAACACAACACAGCGTCCCCGGCCAGGGCTCGAACCCGGACCGCTCGATCCGGGCACGAACACACTAACCATGACGGCTCTGCGCCTCCAAGATCGAGCAGTAGAAAGAATATATAGCTTGTTTATTTGATTAACTTCTGTTCACCTAAAAAAGAGGGAAAAATACCAGCTAAATATACAAAAATCGATTTCATCTCGTTTAATTGAACTGGACTGAACCTACAAGAAACTAGAAGAGTGGAGAAATATCTCAGTGTGTTTGTTTGATTTTCTTTTTAGTTAGCTGAATAATTTCAAAACACAGAAACTTTATCTACTAAAATACTCCAAAGAAAACGAAAGAATGTGTTGCCGCTGCCAAAGTGTTCCTTATATCTAGATTTTGTCATCTACATCACTCTTTTGAAGCCAACCATTGGACGAAAGTTCACAAAAAGATAAAAAATAAGGCTTTACTGAGTCAAGGTTTCTCTTAAGATCATTATTGTTGTATTAAGTGTACAGCGCAGTTAACAGAGAATTTCTTTTTCTTGTGATCCGTGATCGCGAAAAGAGAGCGATGTTGTTTCACATTCTGCTTGGTTTGTTTTTCTTCTCTTGCTTATTCTCAACAACAAGGTGAGAAAAATTACCATTTCTCTCTGACTCTGTCAATATTGCCGGTGAAATCAATGCTGTTATTATTCGAAAAAGGTCGCTTAAAACTCAACTATGCCAGTTTATTCAGTTTAGAAAGATTTTGAGAGAAGTACGCGAGTACCTATACATAGTTTTATTTATTTATTTATTTATTTATTTTGCTATACTGAGCAGCTTTGATCTTCTGAATTGAAAAAGGATCAATTCATGCAGTCAAAATGTCGTAAGGTAGGTTTTCCTGTTACATTTTCTTACTAACAAGAGTTTAACATCGAAAGCAGCCATGAAAAAAAGTCATTCAATAACTGTTGCTGTTACACTAAAGAAAAAAATGAAGTTTATTACACAGGGAAGAAAAAATAGAACGATTGAAATAATATGTAGGGATCAAAATTAAAATCGTTTTAATTTTAACCATCAGGAGATTGAATCGGCAGAGATTTAAAGTGTTGGAGATGAACTTAAGCGGCAATCTTTACCTTTACAAGAACGTACTGCTCTGCAAGTGCGAGATCTTCAAGCGACTGACCATTGGAAAATATCATCTAGAGGAAGAAAGCTCCGTAGGTAATGTTTTGTTTTTCACCTTGGTATGACGACAGAGAACACCTTGCTTGTAAATATCTATTGTCATTCTTTTGACCCCGCAAACTTATTCCCTGGAAAGTGTATTAGGAGCTAATTTTTTTTTGTATAGAAAGACATGCATTTTAAACGCTCTGAGAAAAAAGTGGACTTGCTGGGAAACTCACACTTACTGGTACAATGAGAAGTTCTGAAAATCAGCAAAGATTATTTTCAATCTTTTCAAACATTGCGACTACAAAGTGAAGAAAAGAAACGCGCTTAAAGCTAAGGAAAACCTTCATAGGAATTCATAGACGAACCAGCAGGATATACTTATTATCTCATATTTTTTATTGTTTCTGAACACAGGACTGAGGAAAACTTCCCCAGCCTTGAATTGCAAGAACCTGAAACAAAAAGTACCTTCAATCGTGTCAGGCGTCTATTGGATAGACCCAGATGGTTGTTCCCATGGTAACGCATTCTAGGCCTACTGCGACCAACAGACGGACGAAGGGGGCTAGACATTAGTTTGACGTTACACCTTCACAGCTTACTCAAACTCGAAGTGTTGTAACTAGTACCCGTAGGGCTTCATTCTGGGTGAGTTTAAAGAAACTCCATTTCCAAGTCTAGTTCATATTTAGGCGAAGCTGCTCTTAAATTCTGAATAACGAAATTCATTTGCAGACGTGTTGGTACGCCGCAGCAGCTGAATTCATGCACAGCATCTGCAAAAATTGAAAGATGACATTCCCTTTCAACAAATATCAATATATTGCTAATTCATTTTGATAAAAGAGAGCTATTATTAAATTGAAAAGATCTAAAACTAAAGCAATTTTCTCTCAAGAATAATTTTAATAATGATAAACTGTATTGACTGACTTGAATAAAAATTCCTCTGAATGTGGAAAAAAGTAGACGACGAAGAAACCAAGATCTCTTTGTTTGGGGGAGAGGGGGCCCGCAGTAATTGGCTACTTACCACATATTGATTGTAATTTTTTTTTTTTTTTTTTTTTTTTTTTGTATCATAAAGCCGGGCAAAGATAATAAAATAAGATAGTTTTAACTCAGGTTGATAAACACAGCCTGTTCTTAAACTCATCGTTAAAAGCATTTACACAGGGTTTATCTAGATTTATAAACTTGCACAGGCGTCATGTTCTGAAAGTTTATTTTTTTAATTGTCAAAGTTATCACAGCTAAGTTTTCCACAAGGGGCAAAGATCATTTCATTTTCCTTTCCTCTAAATTTATCGTCAATAATCGTTCATGTTTGCGCACTAAATTCTACAAAAAAAATCATTTGTTAACAAATTTCTTTTCTACAAAAAAAAAATTCTACGGTTAATTTTTTTTAAAGAATGAAATTATAACATCACTACTTATTGGATCTGAATTCTGCTGTGTCATTTTTGTTGAATCAGGCCGAATCAAACTTAAAAGCAATTTTAATCAATTGTGCTTTGCTAAGAAAACAAAACGTACCATGCCCATTTACACTAATTAATGAAGATATTGAATTTCGATATTCCATTGGATAAATCCAGTATCGGCCTAAACAAATCATCACACGTATGAGATTAAGCGGCTCTTCAACAAGAGGCCCATTCCGTTTTGAACGAGGAGCAGTAAGTATTTAACAAGCTCTGGTTTCTTCCCTTTTAATTTTCTATTCTGTGATACGTTTTAGGGTTTTTTCTAAATATTCATACTTCCTTGCTTTTTTAGTTTTGCATCTGTGCTGAGCAGAGACTTTTCGCGTTGAGTCAATCAATCGAACTTCTTGAAGTTTTATACTGCTTCAACGCATCTCCAAAATGTTCTTCCACGTTAGTTTCGCTTTGGTGTTACTCTCCAGCAGTGCTCTAACAATAAGGTAACATAAATCAGATAGCTTTATAATAATCTAATTCGTTTGAAATGTGATTTTCGTGAAACTTCATCATTTTAACCGCTTTACTAGACAACTCCAACAAATTAATACATGATGTCGTTTGTAAACGAAAACGTCGATATTGACAGTGGCTTGAAGTTCCTTTCTAGCTAGACTCCTTTTGCGGTAGACCCGAATTCAATTCTTGTAGGGTTACGCTTAAAAATGTCCCACTGGTATTCCTGAAGCCACGCATTTGTGATTTTAATTTTAACCTTTAACTTTTAATTCTCTGCCCTATACGTACTTTTCGAAGGGAAAACGTGTTAAAAATACTTAATATTTTATTTCAAAACGGCCACATTCAGAATCATAACCACAGTCGTAACAGAAGTAAGATGTTGACTTAATTCCCAAGTCCTACTCTTTTAAAGGAATTTCATTGCTCTGTAAAACTCCGTTTTTCAGCCGGGCATACCTCCTTCAGTCTTAGATAATCTCAAAATCGTTTGAAGCCCAAAGAGGAACTATTATTACATTATAGTGTGTTGTCTTTTAAAACCATCAGGGGTCTGGAGCAAAAGAGGAACAAAATGTGTGTGTTGGACATAGATGAAAAAGGCAATCTTTACCTCTACAAGTTTGCACTACTCTGCAAGAACGAGATTATCAAGCGACTGATCAATGGATCTTATCAGCTCGCAGAGCCGAGCGACGGACCGAATACAATAGGTAATTCATTGATAAAACTCTTTTCATGGCATGAATGTGATTTTCAATGCAAGCAACTTACTCTTGAAGTGATCTTTCTGTATTCTTTACGAAGTAGAATGTATATACTATTAAGTTACGATCATGTTACGAAAAAATTGTCTAAGTCTAGTTCTAGAACAATCTAGAACCTGAAGTCATTCAGCCGTGACCAATTTGTATAAGAACATTCCAGAACATTCTAATCCTTA